TAAGTTTTCTCATGTTATGCTCCCTGAAACCACCCTCATAACTCTGTTCAGAGAAACGCTCGGCAAATTTGGAAAGCAGATTTAAACTCAGCATCCAAAAACACGTCTAGCAGTGTAGGTCTCATTTCAAATGGCCACTTCGACTTGGGATCCTTCCCTGGTCAGCGAGGCAGCGGAAATTCACATACTCCAGGTTTCACTAATAGCAAGCAAAATTTCTTGCTACCCCCAGTTCTCCCTTTTCTACAGCCTTCTAGGCCTCTAGGTGGCAATTTCCTGTCTTTGCTTTACATGTGCATCAAAGCTGTTTCTATATCGCTAAGAGGGAGCAGACAAGCAGAGCACCACCCTGTCGACCACTCTTCTCATTCACCAACATAATATGCTTTTGAAGTTGCCTCTCAGCTTTGGCTTCCAAAAAGTGCACCTCGTGGGACATCTTGACGCGCATGCGCGTCAAGCCGGCTGCGCCCGCCAAAACGCTCATGTCCCACGCGGCCGAAAAATCCAAAACGCGCGCTGTCGCCAGTGGGTTAAACGAGCTGTGGAAATGTGTGAGATTGCGTGCAGCTGACTACAGAAAGTTGGCCTGGCGTCCCGTTCAGAACCTTTGCAATCTTTAAATCCTCTACGACACGTGAGAACTCGCCCGCCTTTGGGTGTGCATGCCATCCCTAGTGCTGTCTTTGGGGGTCGTAGGCCCATCCTGAGAAGGAATTCCACAACCGCTTCTATCGTAAATTATGCCTTTTATGAAAGAAATTTCTTGACACGCTTCCTGACAATTAGCAATTCCGTAGGAAACCTTCACAGTGATGCGAGTAACACTTTGTAGTTGGTGATGACTCTTGTGAAGGAATAATTAGAAATGCTTGAGAATTACTCTCCGTTCAATGTGTATTGAAAATAGCTGATTGTCTCTATGGATGAACTTATGAACAGGCGCATACAAAAATATTTCATTTCTGCTCATCGCCAATCGTGGAACTCTCGTTTCTGCAATTAAATGCATTATGCCCCAAAGGATACAAGTGATACGGTACTAGGATGTCATATTTAGCAAGCTTTTAGCTTTACTGAGCCCTTCCATGAATATTGCGCCCCGTGAAATTACTTACCATCAGCTTGGCATTTGCAAAGAATGTAGAAGGCGCCGACTGGGAAAAAAGTTTTATTTAATCGTGTCTTGATCATTTATGAATGGGTTCCTATTTTACTGCACCGCCTGCCATCACAACTCCTAATTTGGGTTCCGCAACCCCGCAGTAATAACCTAACTTGTACCAGTTGCGAGCCTGTGTTGGGTAGCACAATTGGCTGCTTTCAGACTTCGACGTCCGTCCGTCCGTCCGTCGGTTCGACGCGTGCTGCGACAGCGGTAGCGGAGCGACTGTTGAACAGACGGACGGACGGGCGACGAAGTCTGAAAGCAGCCATTCACATTTCCCGCTGGTTTTAAAGGATGCACGCTCACCCATTTCATTCAAGGCTCTCATGGGGAATGCAAAATATCGGGCCACACACGATTTTCTTCGATTCCGAGGACGAACGCTCCGATGCGATTTTAACAGATGCGACTCAACTCTTACCGCCTTGATACTATGTGAGGTCCAAGAGATTAGGTTTATGCACTTTGTCGTCCTGAGATACCTGTGCTAAGCTTGCCAAACTCTGAGATTGAGCGGCCAGAGTACATCTCCCCCTCGGAGAAGGTAGGGGCTTCGCCTATCAGGCTTTTAGCTCCATACGCACGTTTGGACACACCTACAGGAAAATACCAGGAATAGGCACTTCACATTGAAAACAGGAACCTCGGCCTAGGGTCTACCTGCGCCTTAGGCCAAGTACATGATGGGTTTCGAAAGCGACTCCACGTAAGCCACCTAGCTGGAGCCTTGCCGCACTCACCCCTTCAATACCAAGAAACAGGGTCACTTGTAAAAGATCAATAGAACTACTTATCAACATGAGAAAAGTATGTAGATGTGAAAACGAAGATTATCTAATTGTTTGAGGTTGAGATTGCCAATTTTTATTACGTTAGGTACGATAAGGATGTAGATGTACCAGTCTGTGGAAGAGAAAATAATTTTCTACTTTTTATTGACAGATAAATCAAAATAAAACATTACATACGAGACAATCGTTATCCATACAAGTACAGCCGCAACTTAGCAAATTTCCAACCATCAAGCTAGGAAACATTCTTCGATCTTGCATTGAAGTAATCGCAAAAGATAACTGCGACGGGAAAGCGAAGAGTTGCCTTTCCTTCTCTCTAGGGACTGCATAGCTGCATAGGCAGCAGAAGGTGGGAACAGATGAAAATCATCTTTCTATAGCGTGAAGGCAAGCAAGATAATGTTTCATAGATGCGAAAAATCAAGCCATCAGACTCATCACCGGATTGCAGTTAGTTCTTCTCTCGTTTAAACCAACGACGGCAGGTTATCCCATGGTTCTCCATTTTCTGAAATGAAACACTATGAGCTGCACTTTCTTACATGATAAATATTTCCATAGCTGAGAGTTTTCCACGAATATTCTGAAGTAAACGGATTCTATGAAATGTTAGGTGGGACTATCCACCCAAATCCGCTTGCTTAATCGATCAAGCCTCTGAAACCGCAGGCATAGGATAGAATCATAGATGGACCAGGCTTCCATAAGAAGAAATGGAACTTGGTTATCTAGTTATTGGAATGTTTGTATGCGAGCGAAGTCTACAAGGTAACGTTAGACTAAAGCCCTGCAGCGTTCGCACCCAGCGGCAGCGACAAGCACAATGATCGGTTACAACCACCGCCGCAGAAAATCGCGACCTGAGTAAATCGAAGTGTTGAATCTGCTTTCATACCTAAAACTTGATTGTTATAGTCATCGCTTTGACTGCACATGGTTGTGGTGTCCTACTGGAGGAAAACACTGCTGACATGCAGCCAAAATTAAAGTTCATTAACATGACCGTTTAGTTTTGTGTACCGTCATTTCTTAAAAGGTTCACGATTCCTCTTGTCACTACAACAAAATAATCAGTGATACTGCAGTTGAGAAGATAAGTGGTGATAGAGTGATACAATTGCTGATGCTCAAATCATATTATCTATATTACGATGGAAAAAGCTGCTCGCGCAAAAGCTTAGACAACAAAATTTTATTGCAGCTTGCAAATAAGAAGACAAGGGCGTTCGAGAAATGCTAAAACTTCGCCCCGGCGATGAAACACAATAACAAAATATGTAAATAAATGTTGGCTCTTATCAGAGGAATCCTAGCAATCCAAAATTGTACAGCCTACAGCATATATTAATGGTGTGAGGAGACGGAAGAAAGTGCGCGCCCAGGTACCTGCATCAGTCCGCACGTCAGGACCTTTTGCAAAGAGTAGCTACAGGACCAATTCTCTCTGCAGACGAATAGCGACGAACTCGACATAAAAGAACGGTACCGTAACGATTCCTTGCAAATGGTACTGACGCAAACTAGTGCACTTTTACGCAGATACGCAAATACGCAGGTACTATGACTGCGCCCAATGCAGGCACAAAAAATGGATGTTCATGAGCCCACAAAATGGCTGTTAATATTCCGAAAACTGATAACATCACACGAGACATGGACAAGAAGTTGTTGAACCCTCAATAGGTTAGAACATCCCTTAACCGAGAAGCCCAAATAGTGGAAGCTTCTACGGATAGACATTCCACTTTCGCTCAGTTTTTCCGCAGTTTTCTTGAGTATTCACTCGGTTTCTGTCAGAAATAATATTTACAACTGAAGTTGTAAATGATACAATACAAGCAGAGAGCTCTTAATAAGACAACAAAAGCTAACCGTATCCGTAAAAGCAACAGCGTCCGCTTAAGCCCCCAGAGAGCAATTAAAACTATTTTTCAATCTCTCTAGGTCATCCCTAATATCCACGAGATCTTAGCCAGAATTAGTGGCTGAAACCTAATCTACCACGAATTGCTATCAGTGAAGGTTTTATGAAATGCTGCTTCATAATGAATGAAGAAATGCCTGGCACAAAGAAATTCCTGCCAGAAAGTGATAAAATAAAAACATAGAATTTCATAGCGAAAGTTTCACCTTTAACTAATGAACGGAACAACCGTTCTCAATTTGCTGCATTAGAGGAATATTAAGCTATTAGAAATTCTTAACCGAATCGAAAGAACGAGAAAAAATAGATGTGAAAAGTAAAATCACCAGAACAAGCTTGTCGTCAGCATCGATATTATAGTAATACGTTTCTCCCTTGTCATTTGGATCATTCAGTCGTACATGTTTCTCGGTGAGGGTATCGTTCTCGAAGTTGAACGTGATCTAAATTGATAAGTACTACGTGTTCTCAACGTTTGACGAAAATCGAAAGGGGGGCAACTCAGCTAAAAAGGGGAAAATGGGAAGTTAATGGTTAAAAAGTTGAAAAGTCAATTGACTAGGACCAAAGTACTGAAGAACAGAATATCATCGTAGAAAAGGTGGTACCCCACTCTACAGCTCATAGTCTTTGTCCGATAGAACTTACATTGTGCCGAACGTCGTCCATACCGTCTGCTTCGAATGTTTCACCCAACTTCCAGCCATGGTAGAGGGTATTTTTCTTTGATGTCAAGTTATCCAAGTTGTACCTATAAAAGAAATACTTCTAAGAAATTTTAAATAGAAATAACCAAGCCTTCAGCAAAGCTTTACGTTATAAATCGTACAACAACAAGCAACTGCAACACGTCAAAGGGGNTCTGCTTCGAATGTTTCACCCAACTTCCAGCCATGGTAGAGGGTATTTTTCTTTGATGTCAAGTTATCCAAGTTGTACCTATAAAAGAGTTACTTTTAAGAAATTTTAAATAGAAATAACCAAGCCTGCAGCAAAGCTTTACGTAATAAATCGTACAACAACAAGCAACTGCTACACGTCAAAGGGGTCACACTACCCAGAGTTTTCGTTTTTCGAGATGACTTTCGTAACACTGGCGAACTGAATCATCTTCCTCACGAACCAATTCACACCTCAAAATTAATCTTTTTGTTTTGGCCTCGAAAAGTAGTCACATAACAGATGGCTTACCTTTGGCTGCAAGAAATTCGTCGAAATTCTCGCTTCGTTCAAGAACGAATCGGCCAAAGAACTTATCCGGGATGACCGTTTCCATCTGAGCCGAAAACACATAGGTAATAGAAAAAACCGGGAAGAGGATCAAGCAACGCATGATTGCTCTCAAACTAATGAGATCTCCCAGAGCTTGTTGCTATCTTGCTATCTATCCTCCCATCTTTCCCATCCATCAATCAAACATTACGACCTCGCATCAGACATCAATGAGAACAGAATTACGCTCAGACACGCCTAGTACAACTCAGCCGCCGTGCTAGAGATTTCGAAGAAGGAAGTTAGATCAGTTGGGACAAACAACATATCAAATAGCTTGACGTATAGGATGGAGTAATATGAAGATAAAACAAGGAAAACAAAAACTACAGATGGGAAAAGAGAATCAAAAACAAAAAATATCCAGATTGATCATTGAAAGCTCGTTGGGAAGGAAGACCGGCGCTAATTCACTTCGGATGACCTCCGTAGTTTCTCAAACATATTTTTACCGAAACTATCCAAAATGAATGAACCTAAGTTCCAAAAATTTAGTAGCCGCAAAGTTTGTTGATTCCCAGCAGAAACCTTTGGTGCCAACCAAAAAGATACATCACTATTCTTTTTTTTTCACCACAATGTTTACAAGACGAAGGTCAAGTTCATTTTTCAAAACATTTCGAAAGGCAGTAGGATTTAAATTGAGCTTACTGGTCCTTCCTCAAAGGACTATAGTGACTATTCAACATCAAACTGAAACATGGCGACTGTTCAAGGAAGAGCCCATATTCATCTGAAAAAACCAATAACCCTAAGACATAAGTGGGAGAATCGCCGAGGGAACTCAAAGCTTACTCTTTCTGTTTGATTCAGTGTTGTACCAATCGATAATAAAAATCTAAAATGGGATAAATTCAGAACGATAAGTTTCCAAACACAATAATTGGCTTCCAAACAAATTAGCAATTATCGGAGCAAAGAAGAAAGTTCAACGCTTATCAGTCCGAGGAGATGCACAGCTGCAGTCGCCCTCGCACACCCACAAAACGCCAGTTTGCCAAGTAAACTATCGAACAGTTCCTCTTCATACCCAAGTACAACCCAGTCGTCCTTTAAAAATGTGCCTGTGCGATAGAGCGCTCTAAACGTCCAAGACAACGTTACCGAATTTAAAACTTCGGAACTTACCATTAGCACTCCAATCTTCATGTCCTGGTACCTCTACCATTCTGAACAAAGAATGTTTCTCGGCCGAAGCAACCATTTGGGTAAAGATGAAGATCCTGTACGGGTCCGAACAGGTACCCTATTCCACTTGTTGCTGACAGAAACGAACATTCAGTACGAACATTTAGCTCTTCCAGTACTCTAGGAATAAGTCCAGGCTCAATCAAAACTCCCTCGAATTACTGCTGACCTCCTAATAGTTCCATCATCCACGCCATGTCCTTAACCGCACGCCCTTTCCATACGTCGTATATGTAACGGGCGAGTATTTGCGAGTTCAAGTAGGATTATGAGGGCACGGTCAAGTCGTGCGCCCGAGGGCGCGCGCGGCAAATTGCGCGGCGAAGTTCATGCGCAATTTGCCGCGCGCGTCCTCGGACGCACGACTTGACACACAACCTGTAAGAGCCGAGTTACCGTATTGTATTTTGCTTCTGTCAACGGGGAAACCCAGGCAGCGAGTACGCAGGAGGTTTCGAGAGCCATAAAAATTCTATTCTATCAATAGTCGCATGACCACAAATTTGAGAACTTCATAAAATGAAGCTTGAAATCTTTTTTCGAAAATTAAGACTTACTCCGAAATTCCTTTGTTTTCAAACGCATGTGGTGCCCATTATTTTAATCTCAGTTATAAGGAGACAGCTCGCGCTTTTCTTATTTTTCCATCGCGCGCCATATTTACTAGGTCTGTCTGTCAACCCGTCTGGCTACTGGGTTTATCTATGGTTTTCTCCTCCTTTCTGATACTTCACCTTCCTTTACTGGCATCATCCAGAACAGAGTGCTGAGCGTTTAGCGTCGAGCGTTGTCGGCCATCTGCTCACAACAGTGAACCTTTCTTGATCAGGTTTTACTGGTTATATTGTTGCTTTTCCTTCATATTTATTATGTTATTTCCTTTTATTTTGATATTTGGATTCGATATTTTTAATTTGGTTGCTAGATAGCTTCAGTTTGGCAGTCCTGTAGTCTATTCATGGTGCTTCTTTTTGGATTACTAGCCCTCACTATTTCGCTTCTTTAGCTAAAACCTTCTCTCAACTTGCCATTTCTCATAATCGATTATAACAATACAAGTCGGATCACCCGGCTCATGCTGGGCTCTCCTTATTCTTGTGTTTGAGCTGACCCGCCACATGCCTACCAAGTTTAGAAGATCTGGTCCAGGAGGAGAGGAGCTATTGATCCCCAGCGAAACACACCCACACATCACTCCATTTGTGCTCGCTCTGCCTACCATGATCGAAGTATTGAATGTTTAGGTGACATGGCTTACTCCTCTCTCATTTCATCTCAACTGGACGTTTTCACTCAGGTCACATTCAATTCAAGCATATCACCAGTTCGGTTACCTTCTATTACCTACTATCGGTTTCTTAAACCTGCCGCCCTGAACTGTTACAAAATTTGAACGCCCAAAGTCCAAATTAACAATTTTTGAGCAAGTCCTCCGTCATGTAGTCGGAGTCGAGCCATGCCATCTCCCATAAGTATTCCCGCTGCCAGTGCCCCACCATATTCGAAGGCGTCAGATCTGAAATAACAATTTTCACATTTGCACCACCCGTTGTGGACGGGGTCAAGCCCTGCAAAGCTCCAACTCTCAGAACCTCGAGCTTTGCTCGACTTGACCAGGAATATGAATCTCTCTCAAGCAGAAATTTTCGCGCACACCCACCTCCTACGGGCAGAGTCGGGTCTGGCCACCTACCATTAGTGTTCCCATCCTGCCGCGTGTCCCTTCCTGATTTGAGCCCTCTAGGTCCACGGGAACAGGAGTTATAAATATTAGATCAAACACCCGTACGACACACACACATTAATAGACACACTTAGCGAATTACATATAGCAGGATACCGTAGGACGGCACTCCATGAATTCTTTTCACTTAGTTGACAGATATAAACGGTCATCTACATTTTAGAACATGATAGTAGTCAAAGAGGCAATTTTATTTGAAATTCTTATGGAACATAAATCAAAGTGGAAACTTTAAGTTAGTTCAACTTTGGCGATGACCGAAATCAGAATAAAAATGAAAGTTAGGAAATAAATAGAACGTGAATTCCTATTATTGTCAGAAAATCAGAAACAATTACCGTCAGCCCCAATGCCACAACCTGGTACGCAATCATTATGATTATGCACGAAACCCAAGTGAGAAAGAAGAGAATAACGCTAGTCAAATTGCTACAAATGTAAATATGAGAACAGAAAAAAATTCATACAGTAGGAAGATAACGATGATATGAGGGATTTGATCCTAATTCACAACTATTTGATCACAATCAATGAATAGCATCACAATCACAATGATTAGACAAAGCATTTGTAGTAAAAGGAGTTATAAAAATGCATGCAAACAAAGCAGGAAAATACATAGCCACCGTTAGACCTGTTCATTTGACCAAATAACAGAACACGATGAATATCATCTATACAAGAAAGATATGAATTGATAGAACATAGTGAACGAAAAGTAAGTATTAATCACTATCTGAGCCATCGCTAATGAATCCAACCGTTTCCTCCGTTCGAAGCGGTTTAAATCCCTGAAATAATCGATGAAGCTTCATGTCATTATTGAACCAGCTTGAGCTTTGTAGCTTCCGAAGTGAGACATTTATCCGAACTGCTCGATGCTTCAAAGCATGCAGCTAAACAGAAACTCTACTAGCACTTGAGGCTATATAGAACTGAAATCAGGGAATATGATGAACCACCAAAGAAAAGCCATTCATAAATGATTTTTCGATGTTCTACTTTGTGCAAATAACCTAAAATCTGTGCGAAAGAGGGGAAAGGGGGATGGAGATGGTGAAACTAGGGTAGAGAAAAAGGAAATTCCGAGGAAAAGAGAACTCTCGACCTGACTCGAATGCATGACCTATGCTCCACCAAATGTTTTCGCTAGTGTTAACAGTACTCAAAGGCTGCCGACGAGTGAAAGACCTCAATGGCGAAGAACGTTCATTAGGAATTCTAAAGTATGATCGCCAAATAGGATCCTTTAGTAACCTTTCAAAAACTGCTAGCTTGATTAGGAACTGAGGTACACAAGTTTAAAGGCACAGAAGGTGGAAGCGTTGATGCAAAGGAGTATATCAGTAGCGAAGAAAGCGAGAAAATCAGCCTACTTCAAGGCTTTTAAAAGTAATGGATGTGGAGGTTGTACGAGATCACCGTAACGGTAATGGCATGAAAGGAGTGTTTCGAGGAGATTAAATATGCTCTCTTATTTAAAGAGATGACTAAAGAGGAACATTGCCCTCATTTTTGGTAAAAGGGGAGATGCAATAAGTACCTTCAGCTTGTTCGAAGTCTGATTTTGTGTGCCGAGCAGTGTACGAGCTGCGTACTTTGAGTTGATGGACTTTGCCCCGGTCTCAGAAAAATTTTCCGTTTCGTGCACAAAAGGCAAGAACTGATAACATCTCCGCCGCATGCAACTGATGCGTAGATGTATTAAAAAAGATAAACTCTTAGTAAAGAACGAAAATTGGACATTGATGCCCAGAGAACGAAATGTTTAACATTATGCATTCTCCCAGGAAACATTTCATTAAGTCTTTATGATGGGACCTAAACAGCCAACTATTAAATCAAATTGAACATATCCCCCTACAGGGCCTGCTACATAGCAGATATTACGAAAGAATCACCACTGAGCCTTTTGTTCTTCTGCCTAACCCTATACACGGTGAAACGCGTTATGCCGTGTTATATCACGGACATGCCAGTTTTTAAATAGGGGCGTTCGTAGGGAAGGAGCACCGCGGTGGGCAAGTTTTCTTTCCTTTTTTCGCAGGAGGTAATCATCCCAGCCACTCAGGTGCTTCTATCCTACCTAGGCTTAATTGGGAAACTAAATTTCCTTAGATGAAACCGCCTAAAAGAGCTAAGGTGGTCGGTTCCCATCATCCTCTATGCATCCGATACAGCGCTAATACAACAAGGACTAACACGTTAAACTGAGTTCATTTCTTGATATACTGACCTTCGGATTGGTGCCCCCCCCCCTCCGCGAATACGGACCGCGCCATACCATTCTTTAAATGAGCCCACGACTTTAAAGGCACAGCTCACGATAAAATAGTTTCTGAGAATTCTTCCTAGGATGAACCTGCGACTCTCAAGGTTAGCACATACGACGCTGCTTGGTCGAAAAACAGCCTACATAGCCTACATAGATAGGACGTAAGAAAGCCTAGAAATTAGTGTAGCAGACGTACCCACTCAAAGACGGACTAGTTCCAACAGCGTTGTGGAGACCTGGCTGCTTTCATAGTCCGCGAGTGAGAGAGCCGGCCGACTATAAAAGCGGCTCATTAATGGTTGCACCATTCGCAGTGGGTACACGTTTCTTGGATACTTTTGCACTTCCTTGTACTAACACTTACATTGTTCGTTTGAAACTAGATACTCCAAAATTATCATGAACTGTGTCTTCAAAAATCACGACTATAGACCACGGCGAAAACTGATGAAAAGGTGGAGAAGCATCAAAAGTACCACTGGTCCCGAGGTTGGGGTGAAAGTTGGCTTATAAAAGTAAGTGTCATCACCTGGAAGGAGTAGACTCTATGACGATGTTAGTCTAGCCTGAGGAAAAGGAGAAAATAGGAAAAACTGGACAAGATTCTGACTTCTCTGCATTGAGCGAACAGGACGTAAGCGCGGCGACTCCGAGCCTTAGAAAAGAAAGGTAGGAACAGAGTGGAAGCTGCAGATGGAAAAATGGAAAAATAGAGTCGGCCAAACGTCGATCTCATGAACAAGTCTGGTCCAGTTCATGGAACTGAAACAAAGCGACAAGGTTGCTCTTCGGTCTGTAGGGGAAACCATTCCATCGTGCTGCGGACGATGGGTGGATGCAATAACCTTGGAAGGAAATGAACCCTAAGTACTTTTATGTCAGTAGAATCTCAAAAACTCATCAAGACAACCGTAGTCAGTGCCAAGAATGTTTCACACATAGACATAGATGGTTTCCTTTCGTTTAGCTAGAACTCCGCAACAAGCTAATCAGGAAAACAAGAAGTTAGCCATGAGAATTGTTTTAGGAGGGCCATTCAAGGACAGAACATGAAAGTAGTACCTCGACAGATTTTCGAACAACGCGTTCTCTTGAAAAAAAAAAGAGCTCAGAAACCATCAATGCGACTGACTCTTACTTGCCTGGAGTCCGCAGACAAGATATACGAACTATAAGTAAGGGCTAAGAAAACGATTGTTCAATCATGGCGAAGATAGAACGATCAAGATGCAAGCCACAAAGAGTCTAAAAATAGAATCACCCCTCACTGAGACATTTTAGCTGTAGAAGTGTAAAGAGCAAGCTGGAAAAAAAGTGGACTTCTAAAAAAGGATATCGATTCATGCACGACAACTAAAGCAGGCAGTAATTACGGCATCTGTAACATGCACCATCATTCTCCAAATGAAAAATTACAAGAATCCGTTACCAAATAGAAGAAACGCTCAGAGCCTGGCAACACCCCATCCGTTCACGTTCTCCTCTTGTCATCTTGCCCACCAATGATAATTGTGATAAAGAGAGTATTGCGATTCCATCGCCAAGATAATAGGGCCGTGCCGCTCAAAGTGAGGCGTGAGGAAGTGACGCGAGGGAGAAGTTCAACCAAATTTCCGGAGATATGAGGGCCCTTCGTCCCTTTAAGGTTTTCTCGTTGTGTGTTCACGACAAACGGTCTGAATCTCAATCCCAATGGGTCACAGGTCGCAAGTGCGGCGTAACCCATTGGGGTGTAGAAAACTTGAAGGTATATGTGCGTGTTTTTCACTGAGAAAAATTAACACAGTGACGACTTCATGCAGAAAAAAGCGAATGGTGAGAAAGTCGGTCTCTTCCACGGGAGAAGCAAAGAATATCTGCAACTAACTCTCGTTGACACTTAGGAGGGGAATTTGTAAAGGTAATGTTGCCGACCTCTGTTACGTAGTTTGAATATCACAAAATTTTTAGCATCCATGCAGGCATCACCAGGTAAGGTTTTCACCCATGACTGAAGCAAACAACATGCTGCAAGCATTCATACCTTTTTGTCGAAATTCGCATGCCCACGAGTAGAAGCTCGTCGTCGCCTTCGAATCACGACGAATCCGACAGCTAGTACAGCAAAGGCCAGCAGAATCAAGATAGTGGAAGTTTGGGAGGCCTTTGATGCTGAGAGAGACGTACCCGTCAATGAAAAACCTTGAGATGAAGTAGGTCCATCATGTTGAATCTAGAAAGAAGCCATAGAGGCCCATAGAATAACAGTTGAAAAGGCAAAGCAAGCGAAACCCCTGCCCAGCACAGAGGGAAATGTCAAAAAAGCACCATAACAGCATGCTGGCGTACCCTAAACATCCAAAGTGTTGATTTTCCATTAGCTATGTCGCCTATGAATATGTCGCGACCGTCAGGTGAAACGCGGATCACATGTGGTTGACCGAATGGACGGCTGGTAGGAGCGAAGCTATACTCGATGAGGCCCGTGCCAGCGCGACCGACAAAGGCACGGATGGCTTCCTGAATCAAAGATATGCAGATATAATTAATGCAATAACTTTTCTACAATCATACTTCACTACATAAACACTCTTTTGATAGCGATAAACACCTTTCTGCTCGCTATTTTTTTCTGTTAGGGAGGTAGGTGTAGTGGCAAGTGGCCCACAATCTCTCACGCACGATCAAGGGTCCGAATCCCGGACCGATGCCCGCCTAGACCAACCGAGCGTTCCATGCCTCCGGGACCGGTCAATTGGTACCAGACTCGGCTGGGAGGATTAAAGCACTGACTAGTTCATGGGCTGGCCACCGCAATTCATTGTATAGGCCACATACGCCACTACGATTCTGAATGGAAGTCGAGTGCGGGGACGCACCTCTCAGACGGGATTAATTAACGCCAAAAACTTTATCCTCATCCTTTATCCCTTATTTTTTTTATTCAAGCCCTACACAAAGAAAAGGAATAGGGTAATTTCGACGGCTGCAGGTAGTTTTGGCACATAAAAACTCGCGTAAATTTGGGTCCAATTTACCGTTAGAGTTTGTTGTATGGCACACTAGGGCTTGACTAGTTCATCTCATTGACTGAAAAATGTTAAGGACGCCAAGCACTGATAACAGGTTGCACAAACATTTTTTAAGTATGCGAAATGTGACACGTACAGATTCACGGCTAGCACGACCAGGTAGCAGATAGATGTAATCGTCCTGAGCATCGGTGGAGTAAATGTTCGAGAAAAGTCTGAACACCGTCTGGTAAACATCAAAGCAAAAGGCAATACTAACAAAACAAAAACGAACTCACCCTGAAGCCCATTCTATGATGAAATCTCCATGTGTTGACAGCTCCTGAACCCGACCGTTTTCACGGTCTGCTACCAAGAGATGACCACCGGTCGGCATGCTTACTATATCGTGGGGCAAATTGAACTGCGCAGGTCCATTGCCGGGCAGTCCGAACTCGTTCTATAAGTTGCTTATTTACTCTTTCGGAAGCCGTTTAAAAATAATAATTTGAACTTAGTGCAGTGCTTTCGAAATGCATACCTCCCTGTTCCCAGTTTCACTATTCAGCTGTACAATTCTGTTGTTGCAGTAGCCGTCAGCGACAAAAACACCTTCATCTGTCTTCACTACACCGGCTGGCTTGCAGAAATGGGTTTTATCACTATCTGGTAGGAGTTTTTGTCCACTTTGCCAAACGAGCTGGAGATCTGAAAGTAGAAATTCGGAAAGCGATCGATCCAACTAAGCGGAGGTGAAAGCAACGAATGACTGGGAAAATTTTCGGAGCTCGCTTGGGCAGTAGTTTGCGCGTTCTGCGTACTCGATATTTAAATGAAGATGAAGAAAATCTAACACAATGAAAAAGAGGCTCATGAATCGATTGAACAGCTCAATTAAGAAGCAGTTCGAATATCATTAAACTCGAAACCTTTTTCGAAACATCCACCACATGTACCAATTTTTCTTTTCTTTACAAACGCTTTAAAATGTTTTTGAGGCATAGATGCCACTGAATAAACAATAGGAATAATTATGCGAAATATCTCACCATTTCCATCAATTTTCCATTTTGCTACCATATGCGAGCCGACATCCGTGGTGTATAGAAAGCCGTCCTTGTCCATATAAATGCCATGAGGAAGATAAAACCTTGAAGCGAATTGCTGACAAACGATACGGAACAATGCTACAACATAATCTATGACGTACTTGTTTCTTCCGAGCTTTTTCACTAGGCGAGTTTTGTTTCCGTTGAAGGCAACAATCAAAATCACATCGTCGTTTATTGGCGTCTTATCCAGGAGGACGTTGTATTGGTCAAACGTACTTAAAAGTAATAATCACGCTAACGAAAATGCAAAGAAAGCAGTACTGGAATATTACTTCTGGTTCCAAACTCTTCCGGCACGGTGGAATATTACGAGATTTCCATTATAGAACGTTAACCCAGCAACCTGGCCCAGCTTCACACCGTCGATATTTGTGAAAGCGCCCATTTCAATAATTCCGAACGGATACTGAATTATACACTTATCATGAAACATGAGTTTTATACGTTTGACGTAAGGATGAAATGATATTGACTACAACAAAAATGCAATCAGATAAAGTAAAAACGTGCTGCATCGAAAGAAGTCCAAAGAAAAGTCTTTCTTCGCTCGGAAACAGCTACATAATCTTATGACCGCCCTTTGTGCAGCAAAAAATACGTATTTTTCCGAAACACTTTTCCGAGTTCCTGACGTTCCACCAATTAACGAAGAAATTGTGCATAGAGGAGATATTCTGGAGGAGAGACCCTATACCACCGCCCCACATAAAAATAAACGTCAAACCAAAAAAAACATAAAACAATTTAAAGGTTACTGAGCGCATAATTATAAAAATGTACAAAGAAGGGAAAATGAAACAAAAGCTGTGATCATTGACCAAAACGAACCTTGCTTTGGGCCGCATGATGCTCAAGATCAGGTCGAGAAGGTAGTAATTGTGTGCCTTCTTTAGGATATCCCGCTCTCACCTCATCCTTCAAAGCGAAAATTTGACAAATCTCCCAGAGGCATAGTATAGTAACCTTACCGATCGCTCCTGAAAGCCACACATTGCACCCCAAGGGAATGGGTTCTCTTCAGATGCATCCCAGTAGAACATCATATAGAAGTTGCACATTTCGTTCACTCCCATACTTCTATAAACAATTTATACGAAAAATGCTATACTCACTGAGGTAAAAAAGCGTTTCACAAAATCAAATCCAAAAGTGAACCTCGAGACATTGCCTATCATGTATGTAATCTCCGATCTATGTTTAAATTCCCATATAAAACGGTGCGGCGAATATGAATCTCGTGATTGTTCAGCTCAAAGACTTGGGTTTGAAGAACAAACATAGTAGCCAAAATCAAGTGACTACATCGCATGGAACAATGTCCCTAAAATCGGTGAGTACCTTGGCAGGAGATCTACAGTGTTCTTCGGGCTGGAATGCAATCCAACAGCAACTCAGATCACTGCGGACTTGCTGACAAGCCTCTAGTTGCGCTCTTTTTCCTAGAGTCCGCGCTGGCAGTTCAAAACATCGGTCTTCTTCAATTTTTATACCTTTTTGAAAGAATCTTTAAGGTTACCTCGCCACTCCGTGTCAGATTTCACAAGATTAACTTTACAGCGCATTACAGTTTGTTTGGTTGCAAATTTCTGTACTGCACCCTCTGCAGCCTTTAAAAGAACAACGAATGTTAGCGTTTGTTAGGAAAAACGTTAGAATTGTGGCTCCCTCATCACTTTCTTGAAGGCTAGCTTAGAAATAGACGGCATGTTATTCGTCTCTGCTTATTTCTTAGAGCTTGTATGTAATGAACCCGCAAATCTGATATCCGCCATCTGTTCGTTGGCAACATTCCATTCCTACCAATGTATCATCGAAACGAATCTTCGTTATAACGGCGTTTGCTCTCTGGTTTCATTACAGTATCTTTGAAATGCCTTCAGTCTGGGATGGTGGAACTACGAAGAGTCAAAGCCCTGATATTGGTTGTTGCACATATTCATGAAGTTACGGATAGATATACTACATGCCAGAGTGCTGCCATAAAACAGGTATAGGTAGCAAGCATATGAAACAGCTGCATTGCGAAGTAGGGACCATTTCTCATCATCCCATACCTTCCATGGTATAAAGTGTGGACATCTGCATCAACGATCAGATCCCGGTATATGTTTGGACAGTCGCACGGGAAAGGGTGTTGATCGTAATGAAAGCTGCGATAATACAAACACCAGCAGGTCTGACATAACGGCACAGCACGTCTCCGTCACTTATATGCGCAAAGATTATCCCTCTTTGAATATGAGATCCATTTGAAACTTTTGTTTCTAAGATTCTGTGTGGATCCTGTATGGGTCATAAAGAACGAACAGCTTTGTTTTTGTCGAGGACAGTATATTTCCGATACATTTGCGTCGAGTTGTACTGCATTTTGCCCAAAAAGCTAACGATATTCCAAGAGCAGGCTTGATAAATAAATGTAAAACATGGGTAGCAGTTCCTTTTCTGTGGAGACAGGAACGTTAGCTATGTAATCAAGCGCTCTCCGGGCAAGAAAGGATCACAAAATGAAGTGCCAACATTGAAAAGCTGAACAAACCCACCCCATCTGTACAGGCACCTTTTTGTCATGAGAGTCAAATCGACATGTCGCTGCCATCAAATCTCCTTTTTTAATAACTGGATTGGTGGGGATCATTTCGAAGAGCTGTAATGAAGGATTCGAAACGTCAAATCAAGGATTGCACAAAACAATGGAGAATTCCTGCAGTACCTGTGGCCACTGAGGATTTCTTGCTCCTATTTTAGTCCATACACCTTCATGCTTATAATAAGCGGACACGACACGACCCATAGCATGTGTATGGGTTCGGAAAGCGAATGGATGCAGTTCTGTATTCCCCCCGTATTCGCAACTCATGTTGATCTACAAGAAGAATTGTTCTCTCTGGAATCAATGAGATTATTAGATTATGATTACCTGAACTTGGCTTTTTCCGGGTGGAATAGGCTCTCCTGAAGCGAATAGCAGAACCGCTGCGAAGTTTTGAGGCTTCTTCTGAGTGATATGCAAGGTCACGCCAGAGTAATCTCTCACATCACCAGCAAATGGCTGGGCGTAGTGCACCTATATAAGTATTACATATTTTGTATATATACATACATAGTAACTGATTTCACACATATATGTGAGTAGCTTTTATAATAAAGTGAAAAAAGATAAATAAAACGAATAAGACATATGAGAGCCGTACTTGCAAGACAAGGTAGCGAATACCATCATTTTCGTGACCTACACTGAAGCCGACATTTCTTGGGAGATTGAGGCTGGGTGCTGAAATTCGACGCAGAAATGATGTAATCAGAAAAGGTGCTGAACGAGACAAATTTTCTGAATGATATGACTGTCACAATTGTTTCCGATTAGGGTTCTGAAAACTTAGCCTTGTCCAGGTTTACTCTTAAACAGAGAGATCGATATGGGGCCAAGAAAATAAGGTCTGCACACTCATGATCGCCGCACCGTATTAAAGGGACAACGACGCAAGGTACTGGCGCCAAGTATGTACCGAAACTGTACCGTACTGTATACTGAAAGTAATAACGTCGAGTAGTGTGGGTAAACGTCGCTCGGTAAATACGGTCGCGCTCGAAACAATTGTTTAATCGTAAATTAACAACTCTTGCTCTCATGGTTCTACAACATTCGAAATTGATACTGGTAGTGTGGACATGGTGACGGGAATGCTGTGGCGCGGCTAGTCTCCGCGCACTGGGCGGGGCGTTCGCGAAAATTGTTAATTGGGAGATGACGCATTCAAATTTGGCAAGATGAGGAAATAAAGAAGCGCTGGCCGGGTATCCGACTGTTTGATCAGTAAATGCAAGCTAATCAATGCTTTCTGTGTATCTTTCTTTCCAAGTACTGAATGAGTTGAGAAAAAATGAGGGGTAACAGAACTTCTCCCCGATTGCGGCATTCTCCCTTGCGGCATGCAGCAAATGTCACTGCAACTACCGTACTCCCCCGCCTCCCCGCCAATCGATAGGACGCGGAATTTTTCGTTTGCCCTTCTTTTTTATTAGTTTTGATCTTTTTTCTATTTCTTTTTCATTTTTATGTTTATTAGACTTGATTAATTAGAATGACTCGTCCTATGTAAGCGACGATCAAAACTGCATTGAAATTGAAGAGAGCGGTCAGCCAATTGGAATAATTAAAGGACTCCCTATCTCACAAATTGTGCGCTCCAATCTGCCATCGCAATCCTGCGATACGCGGCGGGTGCGGCGTGCGCGACGCCGTCTTCAGGGAGAAGTTCCCGGACACAAAGATGAGTAACCTCTGGATTGCTCACAAGCCCATGAATCGAGCACAGGTGTGGGTACTGAATTTTCTGTTCGAACGGCATGTTGCGCCTGCCACGAGTCAAAGCTCGTAATGTAGAGGTGAGACCGAAGTCTTAGCGGATGATTATGGTAGCGGCCGATAAACTGCTACCGCGTGCTCTTGCGACCATGGGAATTCGGGTTCAAAGTTCCAGTCATCCATCTGCGGCTATTCGGAATCGGAGTGTGATTTGTGACGTGATTCGACGACTAACGCTAGCAGGGTGCATCTCTATTAGCTTATAATGTACTCGTTCATATGACACCAGCGCCCACGAAACAGCAGCGCAATCTGGATCAGAACAAGAATGGACGTTATCAGATATCTGCGACGAGCTAATATCGAAAGATAGAGGGCTTTTGTTTTTCAGAATAATTGGGAAAAAGTTCTCTAACTTGAGATAGGTTGAATTCTGACCGCCAGAGCCCTATTTCAAACCTAATATACCGTTTTAAAAACAAGGAACTATAACTCACCATTTTTTGCCCAAGCATAGAGTATATGCGTAGCACCGGGGGCACAAGTTTCACCACCCTTCCAGAAACCATTGGTATGAGCAGGTTCTGTGCATCCAAACAACAAAATGTGATGTATCCGATCAGCATTTGCGAGAGGCTCGAAGCCAACTGAAAAACTTGTAACTGGTAAAAAGCAAAACCAGCACATTAAAATAGGCATTACGACAACACACCAATGTATCCTTCAATGGCTGGCCTCGAAACAGCAACATAGTCGTCATTCTGTAAAGAAAGAGCAGGTATAACCTCTCCTAAATGGCCAACGATTTCATATTGAACTAAGCTATATGGCCCAAAAACGGAATATCGCTTGAAGCTTTACTACGGTTTTTCCACATGGAAAAAGCAGTTCGCAGACATAGAAGCTTTTATAAAGCTAAAAGCCGTGGCGAAGGCGTCTCCTTAGTAGTTTCGTGAGACTATATAATGCCACTGACGGTCATATGGACCAGTTCGGCAACATTCTTGACCACATACTGGGTTCTACTGATAATACTTGGCCTCTTTTTCTTTTGTAATGCTTAATGGCGGTTACGTTGATCAGTAAAAGGACACATTAGAGGTATATTAATACCCTATTATACGTGCTATTACAGCGAGGGCATTACATATAGAATGAAAAGCCTGTTAACAAACACAATTAAAAAAACGCAGAGCAAATACTAGTGGAACCCTGCAAAAAGTTATACACTGAATAAAGAGCAATCAATCGATACAAATATATACTTTGCCGTTTCCAGGCTGATGTTCTCGGTGAAGCAATATCCTTACATAATTACTACTTCAAATTATCGAAAGTAGAAGCTTTTATGACTTGACAATCATTCAGGCCGTCCTTCATAGAAATTTTACTGTTTCCTGATCCCAAGTGATTCCATAATCTTTCACCAAACCTAATCGACACAGATTACAGGCTTCTTGCCAATGCCTTCTACGACTACCACGAATTGGTGAGAGAAAAGTAGTTAACTTGCAACCAAACTAAGTCCTTCGGAAACATCCATTAATAAGGTTCTTTTGGACGAACTATCAAAAGTCGTAGAGAAAGTAGCCCATAGACTACGGATTTTTGTTTATACGAAAAATACCATAGAATTTTCCTTGTTATATGTACCAAACGTGATCTGGCAAAATGAGCTGACACAAAAGAGAATAAGGAACTCATGCAACTTTCTCATAACGAAACAAGAAACGAGCGCCTATGTGTGGGAGCATATTGTTAAAAGCTCGAAATATTAACACATTTCAGAATTTCTATGGCACTCTTAAAATTTTATGAGAATTTTCACGTAGAATCAAGCTACTACAGCTACAACCCTAATAATGAAGTTGGTCTTGATCATCACTTTTAAAGGAGTCTGATAAAGATTTCCAAAAAACCAGAGATAGTCAGAAAGAAATGGTCGGGTTATCTCTCATACACTCCAAATGTCTACGTTAGTCGTCAGCCATTAGGCTTCTTTCAAGTTTCAGCTCAAAGGAAAGCTGGTGATACAGAGATGAGGTCCTCCCCTATCCCCAATGGGCACTCGCTTTCCTTAATTTTGTTAATATTAACAAATGCATATAAAATAACCCATTTACTTCGACCACAAAAGGACAGTTTCGTGCAAACCAGTCCATAAACAACCACATGGAAAAAGGCAGGAGAATGGGCAATAATTTTGAGAACATAGTGCAAATTTCGAATTGGAATTATCACTTACTATTTCGGGAGAATATCCGATCATTTGAATGGTATATTTGATGACATCCGGTTGCAAATCTTGCTTTCGGGATACTGAAGCTGCGGTCGCACAGTATAATAGGAATAACAGGCGACGCATATTTCTGAAATAGGGAAGACTTTAATATGGGAAAAATAAACAATAAACAGCCAAATTCTCAAATGTCTCATGATTTAGAACAAAGTCCCGAAAGGGCAAAGTGAATAGGCCGGGATATGATGTGTGTACATGACGATGACACTGCAGACACGCCCAATGACGACATTATTAGCTGTTGATATGCGGGACAAGAAGGCATCAATAACCAAGTTATTTCTGACTAATTAAGAGCGGATAGGGAATGGAACATCTTCGGATCGTAAAAAGCTTCCATTAACAAACTTATAAGCGACTTAGAAGAATAATTCAATTGTTGGGGATATTTGACTGTAGCGAGGTGTGAGAAAATGAAAAAGCGAAAAAAAACTTGGGAACGGGAATAAATTAATTCAGAGAATGTCGCAATTGAATCTACACAGAAGAACACGCAATCAGCGGGAGGTTTGAGTCGTTTTTTCAGTCTATTCTGTAGAACAATCGATCGACTCTTGAGCGACCGGTTTCCTTCGTAGACTTGAAACTGGCCAGTCACACAATGGACATTTATAACTTGCATTTACACAATATCTTCTTCAAGTGATGGTCTATCTCGAATTTTTCATACACTCATGGCAACGCGATTTAATGAAAGTCACAAGTCAGATTTTAAAGTCTCGTGAACTTGTGATACAGTAACCTCCCATGCCCTACTAACCACCACAGGAACGAAAATTCAGTGCGACTCTTGGCTCATCCAGTAACCCTCAGCTTTCTAACCACCCAACTCCCGCGACAGAAACGGAAATTCAGTACGGCTTTCGGCTCCTACAGTAATCCAACCCCATGTTAAAAAGCAAATTTTCACCCGTCACATATACGCCGCGTCGAAAAGGCCTTGGGCAAGGACGCTGAATGGATGGTGGGTAGCCAGGACTTACTGTAAGAGCCGAGTGCCGTACTGAATTTTCGTTTCTGTACTCCTGCGTCCTTGCCCAAAGCCACTTTTCGACGAGTCGTATAAGTCGCGAGATGAGGATTTGCGCATTAAGATGAGGCTGTGGAGGGACGGTACATTCGTACGATTCGGAATGCGTGCGGCAAATTGCGCGGCGAAATTCGTGGTGATTTTTAAGACTCCGGCGCCTATTATTGGGGCACAAACTTGAAGCAGAATAGTTGATTAGGGTCCCATGACCATACTGATCTACTCTACCTCAAGTTTGTGCCCCAATAATAGGCGCCAGAGTCGCTCGCATCGCAACGAATTTCGCCGCGCATCTTGCCGCGCGCAGTCCGAATCGCACGAATGTACACACACCCCCTGGGGTTATGTCGTGGTGGATTATTGTAAGAGCACAGTACCGTACCGAATTTTCGTTTTTGTCCACCACACCGCTGGTCTCGCCCAAGCTATTCTGTTGCCTCGTCTACGACGAGTGTCGAAAGCCGATTGGTGTATCTTAGGGTTGCTGTATGACACATTCACGGACTTTAAAATCCGTCCTGTATGAAAATCTCCAATAACCGGAATGGTATCGATGGGTTCGCCTTTTGACTTCCCTACGATTCTGTTAAAGGGCGTCCAATTACGTCCTACGGTTTGTTGGATGTGACCTACCCTTAAAGAAGCCCGTCAAAATCGAATCGACCGTATTCGACAGGAACAGCAGCCATTCAAGACTATGTCCTCTGGCTGCGCGGTCTTACAGTCGACCGCCCCATCGTCATCGGAGTTACCTACTCATTTTCATGCATGCACTTTCACCACGCGAACCATGTTCATGCCGTCATTCCGCCGTCGTCGTAGCAAGAGGGTGCCCATGGATTCACAGCTGCAAGATAAACGACATGGAAGCCCCCGAAATCAATGGAGCGTTGTGAAGGACCGTACTGATTGGGCAATCGATCTGGGATGGTTATCTAAGAGATCCTCGTGGGCTTCTGGAGCCGTCAAGGGAATGTTCAGCGTTGTGAAGGACCGTACTGATTGGGCAATCGATCTGGAATGGTTATCTAAGAGATCCTCGTGGGCTTCTGGAGCCACGTTAAAGCCGTGGAGGGGATGTTTTCTTCCAAAAGCTTAGCCACGGGAGTCAATCGTTCTGAGTGATTCGCCTGAGTATACGCAGCGGAACGAATCACTCTAAAAGTTTGTATTTACACATTTAGTAACTACGCTCCGAGTTTTTAGGAAGGGTAATGCCATGACATTCTCTTCCATTCAATACGGCCTGTAATAGCATCATGAAATTCACGATT